CAAGTAAAAGCTTGGAATGTTTTGTTGATCGTTACTAAGTTAAGAATTCAGTAATTTAGAACTCTGACAAAATGATTTTAAATTTTGAAGAATAATTTTCTACTTTCTGGGATCTGACCTTCTCAATTTTGAGTCTCATATGGCTTTGAAAAGGTAACAAATCTGGCTCACTGTGGATATTTATTTGCCCTACACAGTGATTGCCAACACCATGTAAGAAGTAGGTGACTGACCAACTTTGCATAAAAATATTGTAAGGCATAATCAATACAGAGGTACAACATAGGGCCTCCATTCATTAAATGTTTTACTGTACACTAAGTCAGCATCTGCGACACATGACAGAAAGACATCAGTCAACATGGCTACTGCAAATTGTCCTTTCACAAAAAAAGGCATTTGGCAGCATCTTTAACAGAGATTTCCTTGTCACACATATTCCAAACCTCAAAGATCTTGCCTCACTAAATAAATTCAGCTCCGATGCTAAAAGTCATAAGCAATGCAGCACTTCACTGCTACCATACAGAAATAGATTCAAACATAAAACCATCTGTTTCCTAAGGAAAAAAAACAAATCCCACACACAATTTAGCACCTTCTCCATCTCTTTACAGTATGTAGTTAAGTTTTCAATTTTTAATTCAACTATAAGTTAGTATAACGATATTCACAATTAAATTAGCTTTTCCAACTCTGAAACAACAGTCTAATCCATCATTTTCAAAAATGCCTCCTACTCAAACTGTAAGTCAGAAAAAGCTTATTATCCATAGATTTGGCTTTATATCCAAATTCTGAGTGACAGACTCTCAACATACTTAAATTGGAGCTTTGCAAAGTACCCTTAAAGAGTGCAAAGTAAAAATGCGGCTATAGTTACTAAATTATCCCTAGTGTATGGATGCTCTTATAGTGCATGCTAACCACTAAGTAACACTTGACCTTGTTTCACAGAAAAGCATTTTTCCATAGATTAATTTGCATCTAAGGTAATTTTATGACTGGCCTTGGAAAAGGTCTTCTAGGATTCATATAGTTAAGCTCTTAATTATGATAACTTTTTGTAATATTTCTACAAGACACACTGTGTTCCCAGAAAAAGATCATACAGCATTGAATTACAAAGTGTGTAACATGCATAAGATTTCATTGTACATCTACATATATCCATGTAACTACTCCAACAGATTTTGTCCGATACAGGCTGTCTTTCATAAAAATGCAAATTACTTTTAATCAACAGTTAAATCACAATAGTCTTGAACACACAAAACTAACCTGGAGAGTACACAATTTGGCTTCGTTACATTGTCCAACACCTCTTTAAAAGCTTTATTGATGATCTCTTGATAAGCAGCATTCAATACCTAAGAGCATGTCTATTGATACTGTTCCATATTTAAGTCAATCCTCTACAAACATCTTGGCTAAGAAAAAAAAAATACTGCTGTGACAAGCTACTTTCAAAAGCATTTTAAACTCCCTGTTTAATGAAAATATTTCTTTCTGAGGAATACACATTTATAATTTCCTCTATACTCATTTTCCTTTTATATTTTATTTCTTAAAGTCAGCAGTGCCCAGAATTTATTCATGTAAGCTCTCAAATTGATTTATGTTAAGTGACTAGGCACCAATATCTCTGGATTCTGTTACAAGCTTCTTCCCTGTCTTGTCATATAACTTTGATCAAGTTACACTTAAAATTTTAGGTGTCTCTACTTTCAGTTATTCATGCTGAGAAACATGGACTGTCATCTCCAGAGGTAATGAATACCTAACGGGTTCAATCTATTCCATTTGAAGCTTTAAGTGTTCAGCAAGTCTGGAGAGAAAACCAGAATCAAAGGCAGAAGACTCAAAAAGTCACGAGGCGTGCAGAAGTCATTGATACCTCTTACAGTAGATGTGGTATTAATGACTGTAAAGGAAGTTTGTACAGAATCTCCCTAATGATGGACATGAAGCGCACACCACACCAAGCAGATTAATGAGGGGGAAAAGGACAGGTCTTCAACTCCCTTCATATTCCTCTTTCCTGCCACCTCCAAGGAATCTGTATTTGACTTGTAAAATCAGGTCTTGATGTCTTTACATGCCATGTTTTTAACTAGAAAGAGAGTACAGCAATATTTATCTGTATCATGTCATGCAGACTTTCCAACATTTGCAATGTGAATTCTGAAGGCTGCAAGACCTTGTATAAACATAGACTATCATCAGCTTTCAGCCCCTGTGCCAGATCCCAGGTAATCAAAACACAATGTACTACAAATGTAAACAGTAATGACATCGCTAGAGTCCCTCTCAAAAATCCTCATACAAACGAGACCAGACTAGTCACTGAGCTAGTCACTGAGCTAGTCATTTTGTAGTCACTCAGACAGGCTGAAGAACTGAGCCGAGAGGCATATCACGAAGCTCGACAAGGGGAAACATCAAATCCTGAATCTGGGGAGGAACAACTCCGTGCACCAGTGCACGCTGGGGCCTGACTGGCTAGAAAGCAAAAAAGGACTTGGGGGGTCCTGGCAGACAACAAGCGGATCGTGCACCCCTGTGGCAAAGCAGGCCAACAGCATCCAGGGCTGGATTAGAGGCATTGCCTGCAGGTCACGCAAGGTGACCCTTCCCCTTTGCTCAGCACTAGTGAGACACTCCTGGAGTGCTTTGTCCTGTTCTGGGCTCCCCAGTACAAGGGAGATATGGACATAACAGACAGAGTCCAACAAAAGGCCTCGAAGATGATGAAAGGACTGTAGCATCTCTCCTATGATAAAGGGCTGGAACTGCATAGCCTGGAGAAGAGAAGGCTCAGGGGGATCTTACTGATGTATATAAATGCCTGATGGGAGGGAAGGAAGACAAGGGACCCAGGCTCTTCTCAGCGGTGCCCAGTGAAAGGACAGGACACAAAAAACACATGCATGAAACTCCATGTGAACGCGACAAAACAGTTTATTTTTACTGTGAGTGTGCTCAAACACTGGTATGGGTTTCCCAGCGATATTCTGGAGTCTCCATCCTTTGAAATACACAAAACTCAACTGGATATGGTCCTAGGCAACCCGCTGTGGCTGACCCTCCTTGGCCTAGGGGCTAGACCCCCCTCTCAGGAGGTCTCTTCCCACCTCAAGCGTTCTGTGATTCTCTGAGAAGCCAAACAGCAACCCCTGCCTTTCCTAAGGAGAAGGCAGCATTAACAAGACTCGGACAGCAGACATTATTAGCAAAGCCAACACGTGTGCTGCAAGACCCCTCCATGGAGAACCAGCAGTATTGACGCTAGAATGGTTTTTAATCACCGCTGCCTGGGCCCTGCTGCCTGTGGAGGACGTGCTGTGGCACACCAAAACCCGGTCCTGCCTCCACAGACAGCGACTACGGCCCTTCCTCCAGCGCTCCTCCTCATACTCTCAGGTTGCTCTCGGCCTGAATATGCTGGAGAAATATGATAATAGGTCACAAATGGCAGAAACGGGGCAGCTTTTCCTCAGAGGATGTGCACCCACACCTCTCCTGCCACAGCCTTCCTAATGGCTGCAGCCCGTCCACCTGCCTCAACCCACTTCTGCAACTGCCGTGCCAGCAGTCGCAAACATGAAGAAAACTCGAAGTAGATACACGAAGTAGATAAGCAGGCACTTCTTTATTCCAGAGCTGGGGAGCACGGGGGAATAGCTCCACCAAAGACGCATTCACCAACAGGTACAAAGCACAACATATTTGCGCACTTTTTTAGCAGAGGCACTGTTATATAAGGTTCAAAAATGCATAGAATGCTCACTTCTTAATTTGACCTTTATAATGATTGGCCTTATCAGTTACCTCACCTTATCCATTCTTTTATTCCAAGTAATCACTGGTTAACCTCACTGACTGCAATCCTGGATATTAAAATCAAAGAGGGGAGGGCATTGACTGGCATATTCATGTTATTTCCTGGAAATCATTATCATATGCAAATGTCCCTAACGCATGCGTGGTTATGTTGGGCGGGGGTCCTTTGGTGGTCACGGATAGCCTCCCTCACTGTGTCTGCCGGCTGAGCTCCATCTTTGTGCGTGCTCATTCCCTCCTTTGGCTGATCTCCCAAACCAAGGCCAGTTTCTTCTGGCACCCAGTGTTTTAATCCAGAGCCCGCAACTATTTCCACAGTAATCGAGGCAAATGCAATACTAGTTGCTCTTTCCTAAGATCTTGACATAGCCGATGTCCTCATAGCTAAGTCTCTATTACCCACATAACCAAAAATCAAAATCATATTCTAAAATTCAAGCTATTTTGATACCTGTGAACTAAGTTTATTAGAAAATAGGTATTTGTGGAATAGAATTACTAAGATCAATTTAAGCTGTTTTAACCATTTAATTGTGCTGCAGAACAAATACTAATCTTTTGAGGAATAGTTAGAATAACTGTAGGATGAGGAACTCATAAATAATCTTGAGACGGTTCAGCCTTGTAGTAGCAGGTGCAAAATAACATAAAGAAGCTGCAAATTAGCAACAAAACCAGACCAGGCCAGCCTTGACAGACAAGGTATACGTGACCGCAGGACTGAGTTTGCGCAGATGGGCCAACTGGCAGCCACAGCGAAGACTACGAGCCTTCATCTAAAGACCTCTGACAACCACCCGAGGACTCCAACAGACATGTGTAACAGACATTAACATATGAGTTCCCGGAAAAGTTATGAATATGATAAAAATACGATAAATATGCAATTGATATGTATGATTAAGGTAGTATAAACGCCTGTTGGTTTTGTTTTCGGACACACACATCAGGAGGAGGCCATCCCCTGTGTGTCCGGCGCTGTAATAAGGAACGCCTGCTTTCTCAACCTCCAAAATTGAGCCTTTAGAGCGAATTAATCGCCGCTTTCCGGTAACAATTTCACGAGGGTGCGGGCCCAGCCCCAACCTCCGCAGCGATGGCGGCGCCCGGGCGATGGCGCCAGGGAGCGGAGGGGGAGGCGTCACGTGGGCAAGGCCGGTGGCGCGAGGCGCCCGCCGCCATGGCGCCGCCCTCCGCCCGCCTCTTCGCCGAGCTCGTTCCGGCCCCGGCCCCGGCCCCGGCGGGACGTGGCGGCCCCCCGGTGCCGCCCGGGCGGGAGGTGCACGTGAGCGGCAGCGCGGAGCTGAGCGCCGGGCCGGACCGGGCGCGGGTGCGTCTGCGGTTGGGCAGCCGGAAGGGAGCGGCCGGGGCGGCGCGGAGCAGCGTGGCCCGGCGGCTGCAGTACATCGCCCAGAGCGCCCGCCAGCGCGGCGTCCCGGTGAGCGGCGGGGCTGGGGGATCCTGTGGGGCGGGCACCTCCGGCCCCCCCCAGGCCAGGCTGGCGGGAAGCGGGGGAGGAGCGCGGCGGCCCGGGGGTGCCTGTCGCCGGGCGGCGGCCTCGGCGGAAGAGGGCGGGATGTCGCCGCTCGGGCTCCCCGGGGGGGGGGGGGGGGCGCCGGTTTGGGCGTGTGAGAACCGCCCCGCCTCGGCTGTTGCAGGCGTCTGGGCGTGGAACGGCACCCTCGCGTGCCTACGGGGGGGGGGGGGCGGTACGCAGCAACCTAGCGTAACTTACGCGCCCGGGCAAGCGTCGGCATAACGATGTGAGGGCCGCGTCGTAGCGGCGTGCCTACAGAGCTTCTCCCTCCCTTTTTCTTGTTCCAGATAAGTAGAGAGGTGCGAATAAACATGAACCGTGATCGAGACAGCTCAGGTGTCAGCAGCCCCTTATGGACTCAAAAAGTTCTTTTACCGTAATAAGGTTTTTTTGGCCTCAGGAAGTCAGTTTGTGACACGAAGAAAAGCATAGTCTTGCTCGTAAAGCTTTGTGCTGTAAATGCTCCATAAGGGTATTTGTCATAGCAGTTGTGCTGCTGATTTTGGATTTTATGAAAGAGTTTTGGACAGTGTTCCAAACAGAACAAAACCGATCTTTGATGAAGCAATTGGTTGCTTTTGAAAGTTACTTACTATTGAAGTTCCCCAGGAAATTTGTGCCTTTTTAGTGTTATTCACAAATGAGCTGCAGAAAAGGGAGATGACAGAGTTTGCTATCAACACCAAGTTATTCAGTGCAGGAAAAAAGAAAGAATCGCAGATTTCATGATACAACATGACATTACCATGGAATTCAGTATTAGTAAACACAAAGTAAGAGCGTGAGTTACTTGGCCTAAACAGTGATGTGCTTACAGGGAGATGGTATGCCCACGTCTCAAATGCTGTGTGCGTTTGAAGATAAATGCTGTCTCCAACCTTTTTTTATCCTAACAAAATATCATTTACTGTTTTCTTTTAAAACTGATATTGAGGCTGTGTCTGCTTCTGTACTAGTTAAATAAAGCATCTGTTCAGGAATAAAGAACCCTTAACTCCTGAATTAGAAAAAGTTTGTATTGCAGCTATGGGATTAGGTGGCAAGGAGACAAGGAAGCTGCTGTGGGCTAGATACGTGATCCTGTTCCCTACATTTTTCTTGAACACAAGGCTGTGGTTCATGTCTGTCGCAGGGAGCACAATTCCGTTGCCATCAGAATGACTTGTTCGATCAGAAACAGGGCATTTGAGTATGGAGCTACAGGTTGAACGCCTTCGGTTTCTATTAAGTCTGTTAATATGGAGCTTAAAGTCTGGTGGCTTGTAAGAGGAATGGGAGAGCCAAGGCAACTCATCATGCATCCATTTTCATTAGTAGAGAAAACAGCTTTGTACCCACTGCCATGGTGAGTTACCAGATTGGGGGGTGTTTCTATCCTGTCTGTAATTAAGTAGCTCTTCAGAGTGTGGCTGGATTGGAAGATAGTTGCAGGTGTTTACCCTAAAGTGAGTAACTGACTTCCAGTTTTGACATGAGCCTGATTGAATTAGGATAGCGTGGAGCGTTCGATATATGGCGGATAGCATGCAAAAGGAGTAGGCAGGATGTTAAATAAGTGAGCGTGCTTTAGAGGGGCTGTGCACACTACTCCAGCCTAGAAAAAATAATTGTAAAATGGAGTGTGACCTGGGCAGGCAAATGGTTCTATTTGTGTGTATGTAATCAGATTCAGAAATGTACTGGGAACGGGTAAGGAGGGGTGGTGTAACCTAGGTGGAGAGTGGACTGTTCTTACAATGTGAGAGCATTCGCTGTTTCATTACAGTTGTAATAATTTCACAGTAATTTTTTGCTGTTTCAGGGATGCCGTGTGTTGGAGAAGGGAAATGTTAGCTCTGCTTACTTGAGGGACTGTGAAATGCTGCGTAAGTTGTGGGTTTCTCAGCGTTAGCAGAGTGTTAGCTCTAGGGAACTCTGAGAAAAACAACATGAAGGTTTTTTTTTTTTTCAGAGCAGTTCCCTGCGGTATAATTTTTAGTGCTTTGTTCCATCCAATTTTAAATCAGTCCACTGCTGGAGCTTTTATTTGCCTTGTAGCTTTTCTAACAACTCTCACTGCTGGCAATTTATTCTTAACTGCATTTGCTAACATTACTTGTAGCTAATGCGATTCTAGACCACTGTAAAATTAGTATCTCTTCACAATCTCCATACGGTTCTAGTTGTTGCAAGCGTATCTAAGGCCTCTTTAGAAATCAGCTGGCTGTTCTTTGTATTTATTTTTAATTAATACATAGAACAATTTCCTTCACCCTTGTTGTTGCAATCCTAGGAAGTCTGTGAGACCAGAAGTGCATAACCTTTGTTTGCAGCAGCAGGAGCTTGCATTAGCAGCTTGTCAGGATGCCTGAGGGCAGCACCTAATTTCCATATATATTTACAGGATTTTAATCAGAAATAGATGCACATAGTAGCATTTATTTATAGAGTGCTGTAAGTATATGCAGCACTTCAGAGCACAGAATCTGCTTTGAAGGCTGCAGGGAAAGTAAAATCAATGGGGAAACCAATCTCTCTTACTCAGCCCAGCTGCTCAAAAGTAACATTTTTTTTCACTTTCTCTAGAAGCAAACTGATTTTGTATTTATCACCTATGACTTATTTGGGGAGTAGTATGAAGTTGACATGTTTTCTTTAATCACTGTATCTGACTGGCATTGGCCGTCTTGTTTAAAAAGAACAGTGGTAGTATTTGTTGCACTGGTCAGAATGTTATTTAACAAAAACGAGCCAGCTCACAATCTATATGCAGTGGGCTCTGGCTTAGAGTTTGTCTGTACTGGGATACATCCTTGGATATATGTACAATATTATCCATATTTCCAACCTGTTATTTAGGAGTCACAGTTATGGGTATACATCCACACAGCCAGTGGAAAAAAAAGATTTTCAAGTTTTGTTTACTCAGTTAGAAAATTTTCCAATTTCAATATATCCTTGAATAAGAAATGTAGAAACCTACATGAGGCATCGCCTTTTTTAGACTACCCCATATTTCAAGAAACGTCCCCAAGGTATCCTTATATTTGCAGAGTATAAATCTTGTTTTTACCTTTCTTCAAGTAACTGTTACATATACTTCTGTTATTTCTTGAATGAACATTAAGCAGCAGAAACTACTTCACTGTATATTTTTAGGTGGTTGTTTTGTCTGGCTAATGCCAAACAGAACAGGGTGAGGGGACAAGAGGCTGGAGCACAGGTACCCGTTGCCTAGCTGAGGTACACACTGACTGTATGTAGGTGCTTATCATCCTGAACTGCCAGGGGACACTGGTGGGTGGGCTGTTAGGAGACAGGACTCTCATTACCCGTTTCTTTAGTAGTAAGAACATAAATGTTATGTTCAGGTGGAAGAAACTAACCTTTTCGGTTGTTTAAGTATCTTTATTTTTCATAATATAAAGTTATATCAGATATATCAGTGCAAAGGTACAAGAAAATTTTAAGAGATATTTCCAGGTGTCTCCAGGTATTTTTATTAGTAACTACACATACCAGCACAGCATACCACAACGGTGCACTAGCATACACTTCCAAACTACACTTTCCCTTACTAAGGCTGGTCTTGTGTTTCATAAAAAGGTCTCCAGTTTTAACTCAGTAACCAGGAGCAGAACACGTAACTTTATCTGCAGGTAGGCTTTTCTCATACTGTACTGTTCTATAGCTGTCTCCCTGAAGTGTGCTTTTGCTGATTATTTATTTAGTTTTTCCCCCGTTCTGCTCCGGGGAAGGGAGCAGTCATTCCTGTAAATAGCGATGGTGTTGTGAGGGTGGACACGATGGTCCTGTGAGGAAGATACTGTTCAAAGGTAGCAGATAGTTGAGAGTAAGGGCCTAAATATTAAGGGCCAAAATAAGATTTTGTTCTGCTGAAAACAAGTCTGGAACTGTGCTTTATCTTATAAGTTCAGTGGGATCTTGACCGTTGTCTTCATTTTTGTTTTCAGAGTACCTGCAGCAGTGATGGTTTATGTCCCTGCTGGCTCAGAAGACAGGCTTAATAGGCAGAATGCAAGTGTGATTCTGTTAAGAACTGCTCAGTGGTTTCTGGGGTAGTTATCACATAACAATAATGTTATATTAATTTGATTTCCTACTGTGATTTGTGGCCCACAGATTTAGAAAATGGAGAAAGTTATTCCAGAAATCCAGAATACCTGACACATCAGAAGTATAGCTTTCCCTAAGTCACAGTGAAAACTTTTTTTCCTGTGGCTATTGCAATCAAATGGATAGTTCCTCAGCCAAAATATGAACAGTAGCCATAAGCAGTAGAGAAAAAAGCCTCTTGCTTTTGATGTAGTGGAAGTCTTGATTCCAATTTAAAATTCTGTCATCACCTACCTGTCTTTTCTCCATCTTTGTGCAAGCACACTCCCAAACAGGAACAAAGTGTCTAACAGAAGATTCATCGCACCTGGCCACCTTGTTGTGACTTCAACGATTATTTCGTCCATTTATCTTCAATAACACATGCAGCTACTGTCAAATCTGGTGGGATGAAAATTAGCTGTGAGAGAAATTTTATAGTAGACGGCACAAAATGATCTCCTACTCGGATTGCATTGATCTTGCAATAGTGCCTGGAGCCACAGGATGGCACTGTCCTTAAATACACAGGAACCTTGCAGAGGGCAAAACCAGATTAGAAGACTTTAATCCATTCAGCAGGAAAGAGAACCTTTTTTAAAAAAGGATTAAGGAGCAGGGACAAGGAAAAACAAACGCACTTTTTCTGTGTTAACAATACTGTAATAAAACTTCAGAGTAATTTCAGTTGTAGTTGAACTACTACAGTATGTGTGTACAAGAAAGATTTTCTGTGTGGTTATTTCTATAAGATATGCAAGAGCTGTAAAAAAAACCCCTTTCTTGTCAATTGTAATTGGATTCTATCATAAATAGTAAGATTTGCTCCATTTTGTAAATTAAATGAGTTGTTGGTGCTGGACTGACTTGAGCAGTCTTTAGCAAACGACAGCCAGCCACGCTGCCAAAGTACCTCAAACCTGTGACTGCAGAAGGGGAAAGAAGTTTTTCAGGGAGTAACTGGCCCGGGCTCTTGCCCTTACCAGAAGACATTATCCAAAAATAGGACTGTTGTGTTTGAATTTGAGCACTGCCAATCAATCATAAAATTGAGATTTCAAAATTTGTTTCTTGTAGGCTGTGGTGCAATGGTAATTACAGATCTAATTTCCATATGATATTTTAAAAGGAAAATGCTTCTCATGATTAATGTCATTTATATAAAATTTATGGATGTATGCTACATGATAAACTTGAAGATTTGAGCATCTGTAGGAAATATTCTGACACAAAGCATCTTTTGAAACGTGTCAATGTTGTCCCAAGTCTTTTATCCAGTGTGCAATGAGCCGAAAAATACAGAGTCGAGATACTTGTTTAATCCGTGTCTGTGCAGAAATGGGTGCTAGGTGGTAATTTCACAAAGTCAGCACACTGCACACAGAAAGCGACCTATTCATGCACTTCCAACTCCATGAATACACGTTTAAGGTAACAACCATTGGTTCCTTCATTTATCACTTTGTTCCTCATCTGCCAACAACCAGCCTCATGCCGATTTAAAGCCAGTGTCCACTCTTTTTTAACTGTCCATGTTCAGCAAAGAAGCGTCTTTTCTTGGTAAGGGGCTTTTTCCTACTCGAGGGCGTGTTTTTACATTGTTAACGAGAAAAGCTCACTCACAGTTCTAGTTCTCTCCTTGGTTCAATTAGCCACTTTTGTATTTCCCTGCTTGATAGTTGCTTATCTCAGGTTTTCCTTGTTTTAATTTCAGTGTTGCTTCTTCAGGGTCACTCTGTCAGCTTTATCAATTCCTTCATCAATTTATGGCATTCTTTCACAATCCTCCTTAGGTCATTTTATTAATTAAGATGTAACATCAACACTGAAAACTAATACTGTTTTCCTATGCAAATAGTAAGTAAAATTTTTTCAGTAATTGGAAGGTTTAGTATCTGCTTCCCTACAGTTCCTGGGTATTAAATGCAAAATAATATTTACAATCAAATTGTAAACTGTGGTTTTTTTCTTGTGTTATAGCAATTTTACAATATTTTTCATCCAAACTGTTTACCAAAGAGGGAACTGGGTGAAAGAAATGTGACTGTTAGACTGCTAGCAAGCTGGTCAGATATTCAGATGTAACTGGAATTATTCTGTGGCTTGGTTAGTTCAGTATCTTATTTCTAAGTCTCCCAGGATTTGCTAGTGCTCTGTGCAGCCATTATGTTGAATAATATAGCTGCTCCTAATGCTAAAGTGTCACTTGTGGAATAGCTTCTTTTAAGGGTTACCATTCTGCCAGAATAACCAGTGCTCAGTTCACATTGTTCACATCACCTTGCTACAAGCCCCTACTGTTCAAATATCTTAAAATAGGGGTCTGTAAAGCGGTTTTCACATACTGACTTTCTGAAAAGAACTGAAGCTTCTAGTTTTTTGAACCAGGCAAACTTACAGTTACACACTGATATACACAGCTTCTAGCTAGCAGTGACTTTTAAGACCTAATTGTTCTCTTTAAGTGAATAGCAGTGAAATTACATTATAGAGCTACTGTATCATTTACTTTAAATAACATCAAGAAGTCTTTAACATCCAGCTAGTTTTTAACTGAAGAGATTTGCATGGAAAATTCCAAATTTCTGTTACAAAGTCGTAAGTAATAGGCCAAAACAGTTCAACTTTTACAGGACACAATGTACATACATTTCTAACAGATGTTTAATTTCTGTCTTTTAAGTTTATTTTCTTGTACTTTGTTTTAGGAAGAAAATATGACTGTAACAGAGGATTTTAGTAGAGTAGAAAATACTTACCAAATGGAAGCAGAGGTAAGTATTCAACCTAACCAAAAGTAATAATTAAAAAAGACTAAGAAGAGCAGCAAGGACCAGTGAAAATTTGTAGACTCTGCTCGCACCAAGAAGTAGATGTTCCCTTCAGTAAAGGCAGCGTAGTCCAAAGAAACTATTTAAGGACTGCAGTTTAAAGCAGAGTTCAGCTGCAGTCTTCTGTTGTGTGCAGAACCTGCTTTCTGCTACTATAATATATAAAGAATTATTTTCTTCTCAGACAAATGTATGCTTTTTAAATATTACATGATGCTACAGAAGGGAATATTTTGTTCTGGAGCTCTAAGGTTGTTCTGTGGCAGTGTAAGCAAACCCACGGTCCTGCACTCTCCTTCACCCCCAGCTCTTCCTGACCTCTTTTTTGCCCTCTTCCTTTTTGCAAGGAATTGTACTTAGGTGATCAGGTGATAGGTCAGTTCAGAAAGCTGCTCCAGTTAACAGGGTTTTTTTTTTTTCCAGATTAGCTTTTATTTTTTGCATTACTTTAGCTCCCTGAAATGGAGGCAATGCAAAGCAGAGGACAAGATTGGATGGGGGACCACAGTGGCGTGGCAGCCCTAATCTAGATCTGTTTAAGCCATGGTTGAACAGCACCTGGTGGTCTATTCTACATGACTCTGCCATCAGCTTGCTGCAAGTAAATCAAAGCTACTTGTTTCCTACATAATTGACTTGGAATTCTGTAGGTAAAAAGTGCTGTGTGAAAGCTAAATGGGATTATTCCCATAATATGTACTTCAGAAGCAGCTCAAGGGAGTACATTTTTGCACATTCATGCTATAGTAAGAAATAAATGCTGTGCTGGAAACATTCACTGAGGGAGATAATGTGTTTTCAGTCAATGGATCTTTTTAGAGCATTGAACTTTAATCACTACCCAACAAATTTACAGATTCTATTAAGTAAACCTGGAAGCCTGCAATAAAACGATACCTGTTTTATATAGCTGTTTACAATCCCCTAAAACAGGGTTCAGCCTCTTTAGTTTCCTGGCTTGCTTTAAGGCATATTCTAATTAAAATAACAGCATTAAACAAAGAAATAATCAAGAATTTAGAGAACAAAATTTTTAATTTAAAATGCATCTTTAGGAACTTAAATGGTATGCATCAGTGTCATTGTCTGAATTACTTTAACTTCATAAAGTAGACACCTACTGTAATGACAGTTTAAATCCTCATGTTTTTTTTAGATAAGCTATATTTAAATATAACAATATTGAATTATTATTTAGGCTACAGACAAGCTTAGGCTTACAACTTCAGTCTTAAGTGGTAACTTAACCAATCATCTCACTTCTGCTATTAATTTTTATACAACAAAGATTGTACATGAGAAGTGAATTACACAGATTTAGTGTTCATTTGTAGGCAGCTTGGACCAGCTGCAGTTGCTGTTCAAAAGTCACATGTTTGCCTGGGACCTGAGTGTCAGAACTTGAAAAATCTCACCATAATACTGCTGTTTTGGCTGCCCTACACACTTAAGTAACAGTATGGTCACTCTGTGCAGAGATTAGTTTCTCCTTGCTTCTCACTTTATGTATGTATTTGTTTCATTAGTGTGGCTTCATAAACCAATGAAGTTCCATTGACCAGCATGTTTGCATGAATTAACTTACACTCACTTCTTTACTAAAGAGTTTGCCATTATATTTGTGTTATAAATAAAATCATAGAAGTCACACATTATTTCACTCTATAAACTCTTTTTACCATTTGTCCACTGTAAGAGTTTTTATAAGACTGAAGAAAGTTCCAGACAAACAGGTGTTTTAAGGTACAATTAAGAATTCAAGGTGCACATTCAACTGTAAGGAGATAAATTTTAATTCATGCTATAGCAGAGGAGAATATTTAGAAGAATGAAGTTGCATATGACACCACAAGGCTCTATAGTGTCTTAATCTTAATAGTTCATTTATTGTATGATGGTCTCAGGGGATGAAGATTATGCTGGTTTTGTGCATTTCTCAATATACTTGCCTCATTATAACCATAACTTCTGGTCCTTTACAGCCTTACCCAAACCTTATAATGCTCATAATGGTTTTGCATACTCTCATACTACTTTTTCATACTTTTTAACCTTAATCACAATTTTACTGAAGCAACTGTAACACTGCTTTGCATTTTAATGCTCAGGTATCCTCTGTAAATGTAAGTGGAATTTACTGCATCTAGCTCTAAATGAAACTGTGATTTTTAGGGGGAAAACCCAACAAAACTCACAGCTATTGTTCAGTTGTTTGCTGCCCCTGAGGGTACCTGATTACATGCTTCCTTTTTAACAACAGGGTTCCTGAGTGTCCAGAATTGCCCCAGTCTGAGCGGCTTATCGTTTGCTGTTGTGGTTTGAGCCCAGAGGGCAACCAAGCACCATGCAGTTGCTCACTCCCTCCCTCCCCTCTCAGGAATGGGAAGGAGAAAACAAAGCAAAAAGGCTCAGGAATCCAGATAAGGAGAGGGAGGGATGGCTCACCCACTACAGTCATGGGCAAAGGACAGACTTGTTAGGGGAAGAAGAAAAGAACACCACTTTAATTCAAACGCTAACAAAGACAACATTTAACAGACAAGGTAGGGTGGTGAGAAGCACTGCCACATCCAAAACACCTCCCCCACACCCCTCCCTTCTTCCCGGGCTCAGCTCTGCTCCCCATCTCTCTGCGTCCTGCCCCCACAGCAGCACAGGGGACGGGGGTTACAGTCAGCCCACTGCTCCTCCCTTCTCGGGAGGTGGGCTGAACGCAGCACATTCCTTCCCTGCTCCATGTGTCTCTCCTCTCGCTGCCGACAGTCCTCCGTGAACCTTCTCTGCAGCAAATCCTCCCCACGGGATGCAGCTGTTCCCGTGTTGCTCCAGCGGGGGCCACCCCCACGTGTTGCCGTCCTCCCAGCGCCGAACGAGAGCAGCGGGGGCTGCCTCTCCCCTCAGAGCCCTGACTTCCTTTAAGCGCATTCTGTCCTGGCATGGGCTCCTCTCCTCCGCAGGCCCCAGGGCAGCCTCTGCTCCACCACAGGCCTCCACAGGTGGCAGGGAGGCAGCCCTGTCATCTCACCAAGGGATGCAGGTGTCTCTGCTCTGGTGCACTTCCTCCCCTTCCTTCCACTGACTTGGGTGTGCCTCCTCCTCCCAACTCCTCCTCACAAGTCCCAAGCCCCTCTCAGGTTCCCCTTTTTAAATATGTTCTCACAGAGGCACAGCCACCGTTGCTAACTGGCTTGGCCCTGGCCAGATGTGGGTCCAGCTTGGAGCCAGAGGAGCTTTTGAGAAGCTTCGCACAGGGGCCACCAACATAGCCCCCTCCCCTACTACCAAAAACCCCACACACCTGCTTAAGACCCACAGTTCTTTTGTTTGATCATTCTTTTTTTTCAACCCCTTGAGGGAACTAATCTTGTAAACACTGATAGCAATCTGGAAAACACTGACAGTCCTCAGAGTGAGACTTTCAACTTTCCACAGAATACAACTATGACAGTTTTTTGGCAAACCAGCACAAGAGGATGTATGCTTTTTATATATGGCAAGAACTCCCACTAAAGAAACAAAATCTAGGTTTAGTCTCATCTTCAGTCTTTGTTCAGATTCACACCTTCCAGAAAGTGATCCAACCCCCAAGTTACAGATAAAGGGTGCACAGCTGAGATCAACATGCAGACTTGGTGCAGTTTTGTACCAACAGGTGTGACTCTTTATCATTTATCCACTCCATCTTGGTCAGTTTTTAAGGCCCCAAACCCATCTTTGGCTTAGTTATGTGAAGCCAAAGTGCAAGCATTCAAGCCAGGATGAGGTACGTGTACTGCCCTGAGAGGCCACTAAGGGTAACAAGATGAGTGTTAAATACTTCGTGATGATTGTTGGAACCCATTTTTTGCATTACCCTGTATAAGAAGTATACAGGGTATACTTTCCTCTCTTATTGAAAAATTCCTCTCTTATTGAAAAATTCAACTTCCTTGCGTTATCTCATTTTCTGCAAGGCAAATCTATGGTATGCACACATGAAGCTACTGCAGTGCAGCTGACATGCTGTAATTCAAATTTCTGTACCATCCCCTTCACTGGGGTACATTGATGCTTGGACTGCAGCAATCACAGGGGTGAGTGTATGTCACAGGAGTTGGCAGTGGACTTTTCTTTACCACAGCTTTTTTCTTCCCCTCCTGTTGAAGCTACGTTACGGTGGGGGGGGAAAAAAAAAAAAAAAAAAAAGCATCAGTGGTAAAAGAAAAGGTGATCCTGACTTGGTGGTGAGAGCACTGTACTGGGAAGTGAAGAGGAGGATTTAGTTATTTGACAAAAAGAGTTTGGGACTCAGGATTTCTGATTACTGAATACTGTAGCAAATCTGCATCACTGCTTTGCTCCTGGCAACTGTGCTCTGCCACAGAAAAAGGCTGACTCCTGCCTGGAAAAGTTGGCCACCTGGCTGGCACTCTCCCACAAGGAAGGCTCCAGGGCTGGGGATCCAGGGCTAATAGTGATGCCTGCTTTCTAGCACTTGGGAAAGCACCTGAATTCCTGATGCATCTGTATTTAATGCTTCGTATTGCCAAAGCTACAGATAGAAGTTTAATTTTTTTTTAATCCAAGTCTGAAGTGCCCAGTTCTCTATAGGCACTGGAGTGAGTCTGCTCAGCCACACTGGGTTTCGAGCCCACTGCAAGCTGGAATGGGCTAGGATTAGTCTAGTCTTACAGTTTTATTGAAGCTGATGCTTGGAATTAAAATGCAGTTGTCCTTACTGGACAATGTTTTCCACATCATTTTGCCTGGGCTTCTGCATAATTAACATCTAGTAATCTAAAAAGGGAAGAGCCAGGATGCATCTAGTTACGTGTCCTGAACAGCACGTTCATTCTTCACATTGTCTACATACCAAGAATGCCGAACTTCCTTACAGAAAAGCATTTCTTAATCCTCAATTTTAAGCCATTTTATGAACTTTGTTCTGTTGCAAACCTAATGATAATCTCTGGGGCTATATAGAAGTGTTCTGAGTAAATAAATGTTGGAGTTACATACAGAACTAGTACATTTAATGAGTTTGTACATATCTGGCTTTATGCTTATTTAAATACAAGTGTTGAATCACAGGGGAAAAATAAAAAAAAAAAAATATTTGTGTGATGTCTGTGTTCACTCCCAGGTCTGTATTATATTCAGTGATTTTGGAAAAATGCAGAATGTTTGCAATCTACTCATTGAAAAGTTAGGAACCTCTGTTACCATCAGTCCACCTCATTTCTACCATACACCAGAAGCTGTAGACGCCCTTCGGTAAGTTCTCTCTCATACCACAAATTTTACAGCCTCAGATAAGAGTTAATGTGAATACATAATTTATATTGTTTGTAACAGGAGCACATAGTTTCCTTTATACCTATTAAAATTTATGTTCAAAGATTTCAGTATTTGTTTTAAATATAACTTAAAAATTAATGCGGTTCAGCCTAGAAGATACAGCTTGTTCTTTCTGCAGTGTTCCTGTGCAAAAGCAGTGTAATAAAATTTTCCTACCGATTTTCATTGGAAGTATAATCTACTCTGAATATCAGGTCAACAGAATTTGACTGGTTACATCAGCAAGTGTAGATTTAATTTGTGTTTATTCATGAAAGTACAAGCGTGTTACCAGATGTTGATAATTCTAAGTACGCTTGCCAATTCCCATTACTCTTAGTTGCTGACATGATCTGAAAAAAAAACATGTACAGTGCTTGCTCAGCATCAAAACATGAAGCTCAGAGTCTCGATATTTTAGGCATTAACTGTTCAAAGTCCTGCTTGTCCCACTGACAGTGGGGAGGCAGATGGAAGTTTAATCCAGGTTTGGATTTTACCTTTTTAAAGAATCATGCCTGGTCCAAGAAGCAAGCTGAACTCGCTGCTGCTAGCAGTTCTGGAGACGTTAGAAGTGTGTCATCTCAGAGGTATCTAGAGAGGAGTCTGGAAATCAGGCCAGTGAGGTTAAGTATGGGCTACTATGCCTAACAGCTAGGCTACCCAAATGCCTGGAGCAAGGGTAGAACTCTTGCTCTGCAGCACACACCACTGATGCCTACGGGTCCCCTCCCACTCCATGGGCTAGGGCAAGGTTGTTTCTAATTCTCTGTGTGGTACAAGGAGTGACGACTATCATCCAAAAGGTTTCTTCAAACATCCAGTTTTTACTTGAAATTCGACAGTGGCATAACGAATAGCAGCTAGGCAAAAACTCAAATACTGACCAAAATTTGCAAATATGATGAAAACAGTGGCTGAGACAAAACTTACAGCATATACCAGCAAACCATAAATACACCAACAGACCGTACAACATGCAACATATACCAACAAGCCTTAATTGTTAGAACATGTACCAATGAGCCATAGATGTGGAAAATGGAGAGTGGGAGAGAAGAAAAAAGAAGGAGGAAAAAATGGGGAAGGAGTGGAGAGATACTTTACCAGTCCAGGTTCCAGTGTTGTCCCCACCACCCCTGAGGCCCACTTCCCGAGGGGCACCATGCACAGGTTTGATTCGTGTCCTTTTATAATCATTCACCCCTCCTCCAGGTGGGTACTTGGATTCATTAGGCTAATTAGGTGTCATGCGCAGTTCATCCTTCTAGAACCCTCCGGGCCCCGGTGCGTGGGCAGTTTGCACCCTCGGAGCTCTCTGGAAATGGGTCAGTGGGCTTGGGGGTCACTGGGGAGCAGCTCCTCTCCTCCCCCCACAGGCATGACTGCCATCCGACCCTTCCTCTTGGCACGTGCATCACAAAAACGGCCTCTCCGTTGGCTCTTCATGGAGTCGCTCAAGAGAAGGAAGTCCAGGCTCGGAAAGGTGCGGGCCCACCCCCACCTCCCAACGCCGCACCTCCCTGTTACCTGCACGATTCCGGCATTTCCATAGGGACCGTCTCCTTTGCCAAAGTTCCCCATCAGATGTTTGAGACATTAACTCTGATTGTGGTCAGACAGTCACACTGCAGCATGTAGGTGTTAGAAATGCCTGGTCATGGCTGATGAGGATGCTGACATTTTCTCCACACGCTCCCTCTTCAAACTCCTAAACTATCAAACAGAAGCTGGCGGAAGGTGATGTGCCTTACATCTCTGTGGTTACAAAAGCTGAGGCATTAACAAAAAAAAAAAAAAAAAACTGCTTAGCAGGAATACTACACCAGTTGGCCCTGCTTGTTACTGTGCTGCTTTTTCTACCTCTCAGCCGTCAAGTATGCGTGGCTGCTGTTGGAAACACGCAGCAGAAGGCTCAAGAAGTCTGTCGACTGTTTGGCCACTCATTGGGAAAACCTTTATTAATAAAAGAAGAAGAAACAAAAGAATGGGGAGGCCACATAGACAGTCATGTATCGAACTCCCCACATTCACTGACTCTGCAGGAAAGAATCCAGAATGCTACTGCTTATGCTTCCTGTAGAGTGTTTGCTGTGTTTGAGATAAAGGGAAAAGAAAACAGAAGCAACAAGTTGCTCTAGAAACTCTCAAATCCTACACATTTTCTTAATAAAATTTTTATGCTTTCTTGAGTTTTTTGTTATTTTTTACGCTATTCTTATGATAGCAAGCAGAGTTAAGAGAGGATACGAAGAGTGAGGTTTGTGTAGCGAGCCAAAGTAGGTTTCTTAACTTACCTGTCCAGGTGCAAAAAAGATTAACTTCCTTTGCATGTATCACTTGAAAGCAGCACAATGCATGCTTTTGTAGAGAGGGTAGTCAAAGTATTGGAGAATTTACTTACTATAAGCCCTCCCCAGAAATATTCCAGTTCTTGTTGGCCTTTATTTAGCTCTATCCCCTAAAATTAAGGTTACAATTAATTCTGAAAGTACAGTCCTTAACTGTTTAGATTCTTCCTCTCATCCCTGTAAAAGGGCAAGATATTTGATGTGCAAAACCTTTAGTACTCCCAGCTGAAACTGGGCTGTATTTAAACCTCTCCTCTGAAATCTGGAAGGAAATTAATTCCCATCCCAAGTAATGGCAAACTGAATATGCAGTTGAGTTTGAGGACAGAGCTTTTTCAGCCGTGGCTGCACGATGTATTTTGATCAACTGAATTAGGCTTTCCTATCAGGGTGATGCACCTCAGAAAATAATATTTCAAGTTGAATAAGCACCAGAATTAGCAATAAATACAAACTGATGCTGAGAAGAATCATTAATGTTACAACAATTAACTTTCTGAAAACTCCTGATTAGTTTTTAAATTCGTGATGCACAGAGAGACACTTTCAGTGGTATTTTCCATGTACTTTAACCTAATTGTCATCAGAACCTAATATGTCATCAGAACAGTGGCTTTCTCATAGTACTCTACAAATGCTGAACATATGAGATATTACGTGCATTGCTGTTTTAATATCAGCACTGCTTTTTATTGAAGTAGTTGCCACTCATTTGTTTCTGGTAGAGCTATTTGTTGGGGTTTTTTTCATCTGGATCAGTTATCCAATCCAATTAGGCAGCAGGAGCAGTAAAGTAGTCAGGGAAATGGTGAAGACACACCAAGTTGATGGCCTTAGATACCAGAGTGTCCACCTTGAAGATACAAAGTTACATGCCTTGTCATGACGCAGAAAGCCTACAATGAGCGGGTTGGAACTGTCAACTGGGAAAGGGTTAGGACAAGTCTGAGCATTTTCTCAGTCTCAACTCTTCAGTAAATTACTCTGCCTGTTAGGCTGTAGGAAAGGCTGAGCGAGGGCAATCCACAGACCTTCTTTTCAGCTTGAAGTATAGGCATGGCTCACCATTTGTAATTAATCTCAACTAGACAACTTTCAAATGTCTGATTTTGTGAGCTTATTACCATCAGTGCCCCTAATAAACTGTGAGGAGAATCAGCCCATCAGGCAAGTGAATAAAGCAATTTGATATCTTAAAGTCTAGTTTACACAAGGTAAATGTTTAAGGTGAGGTATCTGTTTCTCCTCAGGGACTATAAAGGTAACTGAAAGTAGCCAGCTGACTGACACAATGAAAGGTTTATTTTTTAGACACCTAAATCAGAGTGGTCAGAACTATTTTAAATACTTATGACACTTATCTGGGACAGCATAGTTTCTGCTCCTAAGTTCAGGCATGTTAGCACATTTTATATTACAATCAGCGTCTAAAACAGAAACAAGGACTGGAACGAAGGCTTCTTCGAAATAAAAGAGGTAATGGCATCCCATTGTTTGGCCCCACTGATTGAGAGGGGTCCTTCACGTGCAGTGGCACAGTTTCAAAAGAGAGCATGGAGAGAGTCTTCAGGCCAGTCTACCTTACACAATTCCTTTGGGGGGGTTCTCCTGAAAGGCAAAAGATGCCAATTGGAATCTCCTCTGTTTGACTAGACCAAGTCAACATCCCCTGTTAGATGAATGCTTCAGCTACTTGCCGTTATTTTAAATACAGATTTTGCCACTCTCCAATATTTAAAATAAGGCATCCACAATAGCACTAGGTCCCTTGCAAAAAGCCATTGTATGTGGCACACATGCCTCATGGCTGTTTTATGGATCAGAGTCTCTGACAAGTTTAAGAATCAGGTGTACCTTGCATAAGCAAGAAATCAAATTTTCCAAGACCATGATACACAAAACAAAATTTTTGGCTCCCAGGGAGTTCTGCAGTCAAGAAGGGAAACATTATTCAGTCTGCACAGCAGCTGAGCAGGAGCTGTTTGAAATGCAGATTTTTCAAAGTGGAATTGAGAAACCAGTATACCTTCTAGATCCAGTAGAAAGAGACTAAATGACTTGTCCAACTTTGATAGGTCAGTGAATTCCTAAAACAGAAGTCCATGTCTGCAACAACCTGTACATAACAGAAGTCAAGTTGCTGGAACGCTTACAAAACTAGGCAGTGGGATACTCTGAAGTAGGCAGTACCTGGGTTTGGTCATTTATCACCTTCCAAAAACACATATTTGAAAGTACAGCAGTAATTTGTTCATCTGCTTTCTCTATTAGTTTTTGCTAACTTTGCAAAATAGATAGATAGTATCTATTAAGCCAAAGGTCAGCCAACTTTTAAATGTACAGGATAATGAAGCTGCAACTGAATAAAAAATAAATATTACCTCTAATCCCATAGTAATTGTTATCTCTTCCTTAGGAATGTAAGATGTAGATTTGCCAAATCCATTTGCATTGTTAATTAGAATTTGATAGTGAGAAGTATCTTTTAGATCCTGTAAAAATAGAAGGAAATAAATAGCCTCAAGGGGAGATGATGACTAAAGATTACATTATATAATCAGTTAAATCTCACTAGGCTTACAGAACCTAAACCCACTCAATATATACATACAGCAAGTTCATTTTTATGATCTTGCCAACATCAGTTTGGAAAATTAAATACAAAGCAACCAGAACTGCAATACATGAAGTTCTTGGCATATCTGAAGCATTTTTTAAAAATCAAGATTTTAATTAACCTTTTCTCCCCTAGATCTTGCAAGAAACACGACTTAGAACATCCCTGGTTTTTGTGTATAGGTCCCATCACAATCTGTTAGTCACCCTTCTTCCTTCACAAGTGGCAACAGAGAATACCAGAGAGAAAGAGGCAAATTCAGAACATGGTACCACCTCTGACAATCTTGGTCCCAATCCTGGACAGAGCTAAGGCAACTTCTATGTATATATAAAAATATTCCAGCTAAGAAAGGAAAAATGTGGCTTACAATTATTTTTACAGTGCCTCTGAAAACAAATCACAGGCCAGGGTCCCACCACGTTCACTACTATCCATAAACATTCATGCCTATAGTAACCCACAATCTAAACACAAAAACATGATGGATGAATACAGACAGATAACTGGGGTTTATGAAGCAGTTAGCATCAAAGTGTGACAGGCAGTGGCCTCTGCTCATCAATTTAGTAAAGGAATAAAAGTTAAACAAATGCAAGGAAAAGTTGGGCTGAAAGCCTGGCTGATGTTTAGAGGGGATTTGCAAGGACCAAGCTTAACAGTTGCCTCGTAAAGATCAGAAGGCATTTTGCATAGCTGATGGATGTAACATGATAGGTAAAGGCAAGTTAAAAAAAAAAAAAATACATTTAAACCATGTGTCATCACTACTGAAATTAAAACAATAAAGATGAACACAAGGGTCGCTGGGAGAACAGAACAATACACGGCGCATCAAAAGAATCAGAACACCTGATGGGAAATTCATGGGTGTTCTGTTGGTGAGAGAAGAAAAGGAGAGGAGAAAAGAAAGCAAGGATACAGGCATTTTAGAAGCCAAAAATAAGTGGCAGGTGGAAGAAATTACAGCGTGGAAGGAACAAAACGCACAAAAAAGGACTGAATGTTTGCTCCCAGCTGAACATGAATTCTCTGCTACAGGCAGAGTTTCTCATTTTTTTCTTATTTTCAATCCCCTTTGACTTAACGATTAGTGCCTTCCTGCCACTTACGCGGCATGTCAGCGGCCAGCCCACAGAGCATGCAGCACTGCATTATCAGACCAGCACTGTCAACAAAGATTTAGCATCCGATTTTCAAATACCACAGGGACTTAGGCTAGAGAATTTCAAAAGCTTCAAGAATTCTAACAGAAATACATTGTTAAATAGATTTGCATTCCAAGAATCCAGATCCCCCAAAACATTGCTTTCTAACTGAAACTGATTAAACACAAAGGATTACTTGCACTTCCTAGGTGCAATGAAGTTGTTACCAATTATGGATGATCACATAAAAGATTTAACAGCCTCCCAATTTAAGGAATACACAATGAGAAATCCGTTCAAACATTATAGGTTGATACTCATACTTTAAATACAACACTTTGTATTAAAAGTGAGTAATTTTAATTTGAGGCATGGCCAGTACCACCCTAGCCAGCAAAGCTTAACCCATCAGTGGTGCAAAAGCAAAGCTGTACCGGGCCAACAGTGCAGAAGAAGTGGAGGTGCTGCGCAGCGGCACAGGTGATATGGGACTCGAGTATTTTCCATTTGGTTAGCAGGAAATCTGCCTGTAACAGTGTTTCTGAATTCTTTCACTGGAGCTATTATGTGTATGTATTAATAAAGCAAGACTTCAATACATTCAAACCTATTTCACTGGAGGATATTTGTGTTGTAGCCATTCTTCTGGAGTGTTAGCTTTTACATCCCATCCAACAATGACTCCTGAATAGCCACGTCTTTTATGAACTAGTACCTGTCCCACACTGAACTGAATATATTCAGGCTTTGGACTGCAATCATGAATTGCTTCTAATTTAACAAAGAAAACGACTGAACAAAGGTAAGTGTTTGATCAAACATCTTAAACATTTAAACAGAAATTCTTCTGACTTCTACCAGGAGAGAACTGACAATTAGATTAAAAAGTGAAGTAAACAAAAGAACAGGTACTTTGTTTTTTCCCCCAGAATATTACTTTGATACTTGACAAAGCATCATCCACTAAGGAAGGCATTTTTCTATTTGTATGCCTTTGATATTACATAGGGGTCTTAATAGAGTTTTGGAAAACATGCACACATGTATGTATTGACAACTGTTTAAGCCTTACCTCAATATTTTACAGTGCTTACACATGCTAACTGATTTTGACATTAGTTTTTTCCAGTTTAGGTCACAGAATTTTTCTGTTCAGTCTGACTGCAGGGAATTGTTTTACAGGAGCAGACTGATCAACTGTTTCTTTTTCCTTTTATGATGTTCATTTGAATCAATTGAAAGCTATACCACTGTTTCATACATCAATACAAAATAGACACTCAAATATATTCAATAAAATAGATAAACACATGTAGTATATCATATTGATACTGTTACACAACACAGGGTGAAAAGGCCTTGGATTTTACATTTTCTGTTTTGCTCACTGAACATCATGAATAATGTTTAGAGAGGAAGAAAAAAAAAACAAGACTACCATTTACAAAGTAAGTATAGAAATCCACCAGAGAAGACCTTATAGACGACAATATCACAAGCAAAATCCAAAAGGACTGCACAGACTCCAGTACCTGCAAAGTAAGAATGGGTTTCTGCTTCACTGTCACCACTTTGTTTTCTTTTCTCCATAGTACCAATTCCTAAAATGTAAAATTAATAACCCAATATTCAAACAAGTTTTTTGACAACTGAGTTTTAGAATAATGGGCCTTCTGATAATTACCATCTTAAGCATTTGTCTGAATAGAGCGATACTCAAAAATTTTTGATACAAAATTCTTCAGAATTTGAAGTCCAGATGAGAGATTTTACAATAAAATCAATTTTAAGGAATACACAAGACAAAGGAATTTGTTCCAACAGGAAAAAAAAAAAAAAGTATGAATTTAATTTCTTTGGATACGCAACTCCACAGTTGCGTGAGAATTTTTATATCAGAGGAAACTAACATTTTATACAAGCGAGCAAATATTATTCTGAATTCTTACAGACTGATTCTTCAGTATCTTTTGTAAAATCTTTAAAGATTGGTTAACACTGGTATGCACAAGGCAATGAGGCCCAGCCTAAAGCTACAGTAAGTACAGCTTTTCCTTCTGCACTAGGCTAAATTTCATCGGAATTTAAAGGGTGAGGTCTAGTAGGACATCTTTAGAAAGGGGAAATGGCTTATGTTTTTCATTGCTATTGTGAAAAAAATAAAGTGTAAAGAAACAATAAGCAAACTGAACGTTTACTGGGGGGGTAGGTTTCAAATATTTTTTCTGCTGGTAAAGTAAGAGAAACAGTCTATGAACAGATGTATTTGGGTTATCCATACCAGTCAGCAACCTGTTGGTGCCAAAGAACTAGAGGTTGTCCTAGTCTCCTTCCTCTTTTATGCTGTTCACCACCTCCCCTCTTTCAGTCTTACTCCCTTCACCCTGCCTGGAAGAAAATCAGAGCAGGTTCCACAACTGTGCAAACAATGCTTTTTTTAAAAGTCTTGGTTTAGCTCATATATGTAGAAAGACTTAAGGTTGACAAATACCTTTTAACAGAAACAGGAATGGGCAAATACCCAGACTTGTCAGATTGCATTGTTGAAAACAGCAGCTAATATAGTAGGTTTGGAAGGTCTCAAATGTCACCATATGTTTAGGATAACCAATGATTTATATTAGAAGGTATTGAGAAGACACAAGCAGCTCTATCTATATACAAATAATCAAAGGATTATAAGGTCTTTGAAGGCTTTATCTTTAGATATGCCTGGAGCTTTCCACAAAGTTGCAAAGCAATTTGTGGTCAACCTAAGAAAAGCAGTTTCTGTTTCCATTCAGACGCCATTTCCCTAGGTTCTTCTGGGAGCAAAAGTAAGTCTGAATCTTCCACAGTTCAGAGAACTTGACAGTCTTGATTACTGTACATGGATCAATAATAAAGGATCTCTGAAGGTCCAGACAAGATAAAGCCTTTAGAGTATTTCTACTGTACAAGAATTAAATCTCACAAGCAAGTCCTTTAACCTCTCCAAACAAGCCCAAGCAACAGTCTTCTTAAACTAAAATTACATATATATAAATGGATATAATTTTACTTTTTCTAGACCAACTCATTGTCACATGTCCAATAATCAAGTTTCCTCTTCTTCCTAGACCCACAGATTTCCCATGTGCACTTTCTAATTCAATTTCAAGTTTAACTACCATATACAGCCTAAGATGTCCATCTCACGTTGTAGTATCAGAATCTACAAACATGTAGCTGCTTACAGTCATGAATATGGTTAATCATCCTGACTTCACAACCAGATGAATTTAAAGTAGAATATAACACATATAGAATTACTGCCATGATTTACATTTAGTTTCACGTAGAGTTCAGATTGCATGTCTGTGTAGAATATAGGCACAAGGTTTTCTTAAAACTGGCAGGGAGTTCCAAATCAGTCTCAACAAGCAAACTGAGAGACACTTCCTCCTTGTTACTTATTTCACCCCTGCAGCATACCCTCCTGTTTGAAATGTATTGTTGAGCGTAGACGGTATGTAACATCCTACCTTGTCTTTGATAGCCACAGCTTTAAACAATCTGCCCATGCAGCCAGACTCACGTAAAGTTTTGTAAAGCTGCTCCAAGAGGCAATTATCCTTTAGTAGTAAAAATGATTATCACATTGTTTTAAAAACCTTCTCTAGTATTTTCATATATTTTTAAAATATTTAAACTTTGACGCTTTGCTTCTGTAGCAAACAGGAAAAAATAGTCTGTGACTAGGAACAAGTTCTCCTCAAGATTAATATCAAGACTGCAAATGAATATTCTTTCAATCATTATTTGTACCACTAAACCACATATAAATTTTAGAAAATGCCATTTTCCATTACAAAGTTGCTTGTTTTCTGTACTCAGACCATAGCAATAGCTAAATTGCATCAGATTCTGCAGTGTCAACTGTTACTTGAGAACAGTGAGCACAAGACATTTGAAAAATGATACACATAATCAAAAGACTATTAAAAAAATAGCCTAAAATTTTTGCATAAATCTAAATGGTTAGTAGTTGACTCATGCCATGAAACCTGAAAATTATTTCAATCTGGGTCTTTACTCACAAAGCCAGACTTCGTTCTTTTTTCATCAGGCCAATCTTATGCTCTCGTTACTTCACGTATTTGAGTTCTACAGATGAACCACACAACCAGTGCACCACACAGGCTGCAGTTAAAACTACATCATAGAAGTCTCTGTTTGCATCACACATTTTCAAGATACCAACATTTGCCAATGGTTACCACTATCAACTATCTGGTTCTGATGTAGTATTCTCCACTTTACACTTGGAGATAGATGTGTGTGACTCTGTCAATATGTAACTTCTTAATTCATATACAAAATGGCACTACTTAATTAACTCTATCATTATGAATGCTTTAAGTAATTTACTATGAATGAATTTTTGTTGGTTAAGACTTTGAACTGAGTCACAGTATGCAAGAAAATCTATTTTAACAGTAAACCTCAAAAGGTAATGGAAAGTTAGAAACAGTCTTACTAATCAAATACTTCATTTTCCCCTTTTTAAAGAGACATAACCTATAGTAACATATATTGGAATGTCCAAAAGCAGAATGAGATTAAGGCACATTTGTGCACTCACACAGATTAAACACAGATTTTTATGCGAATAAAACAGTGGTTGTTATTCAAATTGTGAAGAACATCTTTAAGCAACTAAATATATAAACATCTGAGGTATGATTTGAATGTTGTTTTCATGTAGGAACAGCCAATGTGTCCCACCCACACTCCCAACTTTCCAGGACAAAGCGTCATTGGGATGAGAAAGAGAACTCCCTTATAAATAGAGTGGGGAAGGAGAAACTTACAACCTCTCTGTTATTTGGATGCGCTGAGCAAAGTCTGCTCCATACCACTGGGATATGAAATATTGTGTAGGAAGTGCAGACAGCAGCATGCAAATCTGCATGCAAAGCTGCAGCTGCATTGATGTGATGCATTCCACCAGGAAGTTTATTCAAAGACACTTCCCTGCTCTCTACTCTGAAAAGAGGAAAAAAAAAAAAAAAAAAAAAAAAAAAAAAAAAAAAAAGAGAGAGACAAAAAATACAGCCATCAGCTTTGCTAGCTGTGCAGTACTTCAGATTGTTTTGTTAGTTCACAAGATAATATATAATCTGTACACATGCATTTCACAGCCAGAGCGCACCTAAATTAGGCCAAATTGCATTAAATTTGAGGGCACTTATAAAAACTAATAAAAGACTGAAGTAGACAGCTTCACAAGACAGTTAAAACCTGGTTGAGAGTTATACAGACATCTCTTCCATCTGGAAATAGAAAAAAAAGTAGAAAAAAAAGAAGAACCAGGAGGTTCTATGGTTGTCCAATTTGCAATAAAAAGCTGCTCTCCATGAACAAAATTCATCGCATTGCTTTATCACCTAATTAAGTGTATTAAACACGTCTGACATCAGATTGATAGCCTGAAGAAAAATCTATTTAGGTTCAGTGATTATTGAGCATATGACAGAACTAAGGGATTTTTCTTTCAGACTGAAGGCATGCATAGCATCATACCAAGATGATAACAATGTGTGCCACAGACCCATCACTCAGCTCTACAAGGATTTGACATCACTATTCACTCCACTGGCACCTGCCACACCTTACCAATACATTAAGATACTCATGACTCTTCCCTCCTTCCCCATCAAATCAAGATACTCACCTTCAGCTGAGGAACACATTTACTGTCTTTTTACATCTGCAAGTGTTTTTCAAATCAGAATGAAGACTTGCTGAAATTTGAGACTTGTATCTTTTATACAAGTGTTCTTGGAGTGCACAAGTTCACTGCAATGTTCACAGTCATCCACATCCACCCTCTGTTCTGTCTCATTAGTCTCCAGTAGTGGCTGTTACAGCTACTACCCTCTAGTAGAGTACTCAGTGCACAATCACGAGCAAATAGTTTCAGTTATTTCTGAGTTTCTCCTAATTCCTGCTATCTTAATTAACATCACTTACAAAATAATTTGGGTCACTGCAACATATACAGTACATGTGTACGTGGGAAGTTAGATTTATGAAAACTGCCTAGCAAAGGTGGTTGAGATCACAAAACAAGACTGAAGAAAGCCCAAATAATATTGCAAGGAATATGAAAACATCTGCGCGCGTGATGAAGTTACCACAAACTATACTTTTCACTTCTGCATCACCTGCTCCAGAGCCAACAGCAAAGGAAAAACACCTCCTGATTTTAGACATTATCAGTAGCTGTACATCCAGAGTACTTCTTTACCCACGCGTATCGGGGCCGGTGGGAAGAGGAAGAGTCACATCCCGGCTCAACAAAATAACCACCAGCACCCTGCTAGGCTGGAGGGCTGGGCAGGACTCCTCGGGGAAGGCTACCGCTTTGCCCACGGCGCTTACACACCACCACCGTACAACTTTCGTCGCTGCAGGTCTTTCTCCTATTTCCAAAAGCAGCTGTTTGAGCTGCTGAACCCGCCAGACAGAGAGGATGCGGTAGCAGGCAGAGAGGTAGCCTAGGCCAAAGCTGGAGCCCCCCAGAACCAAAATACTTCCGCGCATATTCTGAAGTACCTGAAAACCGGTGAAGAAAGGAGCTGCAGCCTTACCCCAGCGCACAACCGCCTGGGCACAGCGCCCACCGCGGCCGGGGGAAGCCGCCGAGCCCCCGGGCCGGCAACGCTGCCGCAAGCCCCGGGGCCGACGGCACGAAGCCGCCCAGGGGCCGGGTGAGGCGGGGCGGGCGGGCTGCCCGCTCCGAGGGTCCCGCTCCGGATCCCCCCGGCCCTCAGCGCTCGCCCTTCCCTCCCGGCCCCCCGCACAGCCCCGCAGCCGGCGATGGCGGCGCGTCCCGCTCCCCACAGCCGCGGGCGCGAGACGCCGGCAGGTAGCGGCCGTTGGGGGCCGGCGGACATCTTGTGCGGCTGAGGGGAGCGGCGGGGACGGGGCCGCCCTCGGCTCCGTGCCCTCCCCAGCGGAAAAGCCTTAACGCCTCAAATGAACCCGGAGCGGCGAACGCTGTGCCTGACGCCCCGGACAGGTTTTCAGGGCGGGGGAGGAGGAGGTGGAGGAAGGGGGGAGGCTCCCGGGGTGGATTCTGGATTTCTCCTTCTCAAAACGCTGGTGGTGGACTTTACACCCTTACCATTTTTAAGGAGATTGTAAAGAAATAAAAAGTTTTTATTTTTGCAGGTTAATTTTAAGCAAATTATATTTGCAGCTCCGTTAATTCATTTTCTGTGAAGGTGGACAAGCACCTTTAGCCTGCTATGAATAGTCAGGAGGTAGTTCCGTAGTGTGAAGTTTATGCAAAAAGCGGGATGTTTTAACATAAACTTTTAACCCAGCCTCACAGCATGCCTCTAACCCTGTTGGTATTTCAGAGGGTGTTTGGTGGCGGTCCCTGAGCCTGGTTCTGTCACAGGTGGATGAAGGCATTGCTGAAACAAAAATCTCCTGCACAGTTTCAAGGGTGCATGTGTCAGCCGTCCAGCAGAGCCTCCCTCATGGACCTGTGGCTGCACAGTTGCTGCGTGGGGGTGGAAGCCCGTTAATGCATCTCTTCTTTTTCAGGGATTTCTTTGGTGTGAAT